TTGAATATGAAATGGACTATTCTGAGAACTTCCCAAATTTTTCCTATGAAGTTCTCGAAATGTTTTTGAATGCCACTGTTCTTCAGTGAAGTTTTCGAAGTTTTTCTAAATTTCTGGAACTTTTGTGCTCCCGCAATTTTCATGGAATTAGAATGAAATAATTAGTATAGTTTTATGGTTTTCACTTAAATTCTCATGATTTTTCTGAAGTTCATGAAACTTCCATTAAATTATCGACACTAATTTAAAACTTCTTCAATAGTCTAGACGGGTGTTATTAAAACTGCCTAAACGAATTTCTTTAAAGTTCTCTAGGTTGCCCTGAATTTATCAGTATTTTTTAACAAACCGCAACTTTACTGAAATTAATTGATTTGCCTTGAAGTTTGGACAATTTTCCTTAAGTATTCTAGCCATTAAAAACGCTCACTTATTTTCCCAGAACTATTCTTACCTGAAGTTCTCTAAATTTGTTTGTCCTGCAAATTTTCAGATATATATATTATATATTGAAAATTCCCTGACCCTGATCAATCATAGAATTCTTGGAATACCCCATCATTCCACGAAATTCCTTGAAAGTCGCTGCAAATTTGCTTAAGTTAATGGGATTATTCTGAAGCTATTTGATCGTCCTCGAAGTACTCGAAACTTCGCTGAATATCATGAAACTATCTAAATTCTATGTTCTCTGGAATTTCTTGAAGATATTTATCGCTGTTTGCTAAAAGTTCTCGCATTTTTTTTTTAAATGAATGGAACTTTGTTGATATTCTCTAATCAACTTAGCTAAGCTTTCGTAGTTCTTGATATTTCCATGATATAACACCCTTAAAATACTCTCACCTTTTCCGGATGTTCATATAATTTTTATCACGTTCCAGAAGTTCTATCGGAGTTGTTGTTGAAGTTTCCGGAACTTCTTTAAGGTTTCTACAATTTTCTTTGAATTATTTGAACTGCCCTTGATTCTCTGATCTGTCTTGATGTTCTCGAAGCTTCCCTAAAGCTCTCAATTCTATTGAAGATAAATTTCCCTGAAATTCTTTGGACTTCTCTGAAGTTCCTGGAATATTTATGAAGTTTTCATAAATTATCTGATGGTCTCTGTGCTTCCCTAAAATTTTCGGAACATTTTAAGGGTTCTAAATTTACGATTATAGATATTTAAACTGCTCTAAAAAGATCTGAAATTCCCCAAAGATCTCTAGATCTAGCTTTTCTGAGGTGCTTAGATTTTTTTTAATTTGCGCAATACCCCTCAAGGTTTCAATATTTCTCAAGTTTGCTTAACATCTGTGATGTGCTCTGAAATTCTAGGAACTTTGGGGATCTTAAAGCTTCCAGTAAGTACCCCATAATTTCAGTGTGTTAACTTCCCTTATGTTCCCGCAGTTTGTTTATGGAGCTTTACTGAAATTCTCAGAATTTCCTTTCATTCCTCAGAACTTCTTCAAAGTTCCTACAATTGTTGTGAAGTTAATGAGACTGCAATGAAGATCTCTAATATTTCATAAAGTTAATTACGAACTTGAAATAAATCATTTAATGTTTTCCTTAATTCAGGCAAACTTGTTTCTTTAAAACTGATTGCCATGTTTTAAAAACGCTTGGGTTAATTACTGTTGATCTTCCAGAAAAAGCATATTTTGAACGCATTTTATAAAAAGCTTTTTTATTATAAGCCTTGAATTTATCCGTTAAAGTTCTGGGAAAACCTGGAAAACTCAGGAAATTTTATTTAGAAAAATGAGTAGAGAAAGACGATTAAACGTCACAAAGCAAATAATGATCGATATTGAAATAAATTCGCGCTAAAATAGTTGAAAATAGTGACTGATTACAAGAAAAAGTGACTTTAGTGACTTGACCTTAAAAAAAGAGACTAGTGACTGGCTTGAAAAAAGTGACTCACTACCAGCCCTGTGGTAATATTAATTTGTATGATTCAATTGATATTAGGGAGATATTGACGATGAAAGTCAGAAGTGACAGTTACGTTATATCGAGGTATACCTGTAATGCTTTGTGTGCAATTAAACTTGGTTATTCTTCAACCTCTTCTCCATTCTGAGAGAAAAATTATCAACCTTTACTCAATACAATTTATAGAAGAATTAAAAAATTCAAATCAAATTTCTAAAAAATTTGCCCACAGCATCGTGCATACATTCTCGATTCAGGCTTTTTCTTAAGCAGGCACCACATAGTCAAAAATAGTGTCAATACTCAAAATGTAATGTTATTATTGAATCAAAACCATACCAACTATCAGTGGAAGCAATTTTTTTTTTTTTTTTGGTGCTGAGCACCAATGCTACCGACGTGCCAGGAAGGCAGCTCCCACACCTGGACCCTACCTATCGACCCATCAACTCATGAACCGGGGACCAACGGCTTTACTTCCCATCCGAAGGAAGGCGTGATCAGAGATGTTATGCCTCAGAACATCCCGGCGGCGCCGACTGGGATTGAACCCAGGCCTGCTGGGGTAAGAGGTAATCACGCTTACCACTACACCACCGGCGCCGTTAATGGAAGCAATTTGGCAGCTGTGTTTTTAAGAACGCTGCTCTCTGCTTTTCCCCTGTTATCATTCTGAGTTTATTCTGCATTGGCTGCATTGATGGTGTGGTGTTTTTGGAATGACGTTCAACATTCTGAACTCTTTCGCAAATTTGTGATGGCCCTGATAAGGGAGGTTTGGTTCCATTACACTTTTGCGGAAGGCTTATGAATTGAGCGTTTTCCATAAGCTGGAGGTCCTTCGGCATAATATTCCACTAAGAGGTGCTCGCCCTGGCTGCGCACCAGCAGCACGTGAGCGTATAGCTGAGCATATTTGCAATATTTTGGCGCTGACTGCTGGCTTGCGCATAGGTTCGTATTCTTCTGGATCTGCACTACACTGAGGCACTTTCTCCATGGATACGAGCGAGCTTGATGTTTTTTTTTTCCGACATGATGGAGAGTTTTTTCTTTGTTCGATTTGCGATACAATTTTCGAAAAATTTCTTAATTGTTCATATCCACTATTTGTACTATATACCAACAAATTGCTGGATCTTTTCCCTGTCGAATGACATATTACGTATTAAAGGTTCAAGGATCTCTGGAGATTTTACACGGTATCACGCGAATATCTTGAAGTTCCTCGAGATTCTAGGTTTTGTGAAGTTCCGGTAGCCTTGGATTTTCCAAATTATTGGGAGTTTCCGAATGTTCCAACCTATGAAAAAGTATCTGGAACATGATAATAAATAATCCAGGACTCTTCTGTTTTTCTAGAGTAGGACTCGTCTTGAGAACTTTTGCTACTCCAATCTATACGTGTGTGGATAACTAATTCTTTTTAAATTCAGTGAAATTATTGATAGAACTTACTTCAAAATCACAATCACAACAATCTCTTGAATTTAGTGAGCAAGATGTATTGATGTTTTTTTAAAAAGTTGATATAAGCCTATCAAAATCATTTTAGACAACCCTTGTTAACATTAACTGCTAATTTTCTTTTAGTTAAAAATTACAGTAATCAAAGAGGTTTCTAATTTATTGATAAGTTTTCGCAAAATCCACGCCAGCTGAGACAGCCCTGAAATTTTATAAAATTCAACAAATATTGGTTGTAATTTTTAAAAAATTTCAAAAATAACAGATTTTGTAAAATTTAAAATTATAAAATTTTAAACAAAAATGTTAATGTTAATGTTAATGTTAAATAAAAACATGCGCGATATGGAAGGTTTACAACTTGAATTCTGCATGAATCCAGGCCAGTGACTTCTTTGGCTTGATTAGATCTAGAAGTAAAAAGAGTTTTCTGCAAAGACAACGGAAATCTAACACTTAAAACGTCTAGCTTATTAAGCTTGGAATCAACTTGCACAAATCTCATCATGATTGTGAGTGATTCCTATAATGCGGTTAGATATGCGCAGTACCAATTAACTGCTATGTACTACCCGAAAGCATCCCGTAAATGGTTTAAGTAACCATAAAAGATAAATAACATGGTTGAAATTTCACATCTCGCTTAAGAGAATGTAGAAAACTGCATGCGATAAATTAGACTTCAAGCTGTGCTTTCCCAACCACTTAACGACTCAACCTGCTAAACCATCGACAATTTATCAAGAAATCCCAAATCCTTCTAAACGCATCTGCTGCCAAAATAAAAACCCGAAATCCATGTCAACCTTGCTCCCAAAACAACGAAACAAACACACATACATACAATGTGGCCTTCATACCGCAGTGATCCACTCCCTAGTACTAATGTTCAACGCCAGAAAATGTTCTGCAATGTCAAACCCAGGTGCAGCCCAGGTTATGGCTAAATTATTCCAATAGAGACAATAAAACATGTGCATTATACACGATGGCGTACTTCACAACGACACACGACACGATCACAGCAGTAGTTATTATCTTGAACACCTCTCGTTGGCACCGATTCAACACGGGAAATTCTTGCCTCGTTAGGAAAAGGGGATAAATCTCGCCTTCGTACTGCATAGCCCAAACGGACAGGTCATATCTACTCCGAAGAAGATTACACAGCATCCCCAGGAGAACAATCGATGTTACATAATTTAGAACCCAACGAGAGTATATGCAAATATGAATGAAAAACCCAGCTCATTCATGCCCACCGAATCGGATCCCGGTGGAAAACGAGAACCGAGCACCATCCAGCTGGGCTATCTCACTCAATGCTGGCATTAAAAGTTGTTTTGCCACTAGGCGAAACCACAAACTGATGTTACATAATTAAACACTTTGTATAGACGAGGGTTCAGCAGCTTGATGATGGAAATGACGCCTTCCACGCTCGCAATGTTCTGTGGGGAAAATCCTTTGCTCTCCAATCCTAGATAATACTCTTGGAAATGTGCGTTTTTCCTCTCGATCGAGAGCAAAAACTACACATTCTCATACACTGCAAAGCGTCCAAATGTATCTAGTTTCCATCCACTGTCATAGGCCGTATTTCCTACTATTTTCTTTTCTCTTCGAGGTCCTTCGAATCCTTTTCTCGATCAATCACTTCTGAATCCGACGTGGGTTATAAGGGAGCGTCCTTCAACTTGAATTTTCTTCTGTTTCGCCGTTCCGGTTCACACCAACACGGCAGAGACACTCGTTATGTAAAGGTGATTACCAACCATGATTTCTTCCGGGATTTCGGCAGAGGATGCGTTGATGATTGTTGAATTGTTCTAACAGCAGGGAATGCTTCACATGGTTACAGCTGGCTTCCGCTTGAAATTTTGTGTTTCTAAAATATTCACTTGCACATTTTTGAGAATTCTATTTCAAACGGTATCTCAATCTACATCACTAGATGTATTTTCTTTGCGACGTTCCTATCCGTTAGGGTTATCGATTTCCCAAAACAAACTATTTTTTTTCAACAACTTCTTCTAACTTTCGTTTGCATATAAAATTAATCACAATAACACTTTTTTTCAAAAGAAATCTGGCAGAGATAATAAAATGTATTGTCAGACACGAGAACGAGATCGATAATTGCGTTTTGCACCAGCCCTTTCAGGACTATTTTTTTTTCGATTGCACAGAATCTAATCGCATAACAATATATTTCTACAGATATTTTTTCAGCTTTCTGTTATAAAAAATATAGCACAAAACGACGGAATTCTTCAGTACGAGTATGTACAGCGCTCCTTTTGTTCTTGGTAACTATGTTTTCCGCTAGAGTGGCTCCTCTATAGATTTTGCTCCTATCTTCCTCTTATTAGTGTTATTATTAGCAGTATGGCAGGACACTAAAGCTCTAAAACCAAACATCTACACTGTACAAATGCACATTTAGCCCCGACGGATGGCGACAACGGACTGCGACGATCCTGCTCGACACGACCACATCCAATATCATCCCCGAAAATACTCCAAACCGAAGAGAAAAGAGAAAGCAGCACTGACGACTCTCTTGCCCACAAAGTCCTCCGAAAACTGCTCACTATGGACGTACAGCAAAAAATCAACAAACCGAAAACCATGGCTAGAAACCAACGCCAACCCACGGTCTGGCTTCGATATCAGATTCTCATTCTCACTTGGTCCACGCGAGTAGCAGAGCGTCAGTCTGTTCTCAACGCTGTTGACCGGTTGGAGATATGAATGAGAAACGTGAGCAATTTTCAAGCATACACAGTTGGATACTGTGGGTGGCAGTGGTGCCATTTGATTCGAATATTTAATCCGAGTCGATAAGCATCCAAGCATTTAGGATGTCTAAAGATGAATGCGGTTATAAAATCGGGACATTACATTAAAATCGGGACATTACATTAAAATCAAACTTTTGTAAGAAAATGGTTTGGGCGTTAGTATGTTTGAATAGATATGAGTGGGGTTTCATCTCACAATGTACAGGTTTTTCCAATCCCGTTGCAAGCCTAATATTGCTTTAATTTAGAAGTTTTATTGAAGAAAACATCAAACAATCTCTTATGGATGTTGTGAACATTTCAGATTACGTACATTTGTCTAGCGCATCACTGCTAACAACACCGTAATTGCAGCCATTGTCAGTGAGAATCTTCGAAAATTATCATCCCTCTGTTACTACACGGTAAGAAAAAAAAGGAGCCAAATTTCTCTCAAATCGGCGTTGGAACTGTTTAACATGATTATAATCAATATTGAATTCCTATATTTTACCTCCCCTGTGTGTTGTGCTTCTCAGTTATTGAAAATATAGAACAAATTAAGTCGATGAGACGAAGTTAGATATTTTTTTCTTATCGTGTGAGCCGGTCGGAGGAGGCAAATGTGTGCTTTTTTAATTTCTCCCAACGATGATTGTAATATGTAATCATGATCATGCGATCAATTCTCTTTATGTCACGTGGTGAGTTTCGACCAGAACGTGTATTTAACTAAGTGATTATCACCACTAGAGTTACTTTTACGATCTATTGTACTTTCAGATAACAACGTCAGAGATACATTCCGAAAGATAAACTAAATACAAATAGCCTTATTTGAATAGCATTTTTAGAGTTCAGTACCACCCAACCAAGCAAACGACACTGCCTGTTTCGAAACTCTCACTCTCGTAACATTAAATTCTCTCTTATCAACTCAGACTACACTGAGTCGCATCCCATCCTCGCGAGAACGACACGCTTTCGCTCCCGCGACACGACAGTCTGTGGAGCTCTCCCCCATCCCCATCAGCCTGAACTGACCCAGCAGACGGCAACATCTGATTCAATTTAGCCAGCCAGTGAACCACGGCGACGGCAGTGTAGTGACGGCATGCATTAATATGAAATGTTCCCCACGTTCCATATTGAACAGAAGCTGTCTCGTTTGCTCTCTCGGCGGCAAATGGACGTACCCAAGATCGGTCCAGCTGAAGGTTACTCACAAGGCACAATCCAGTCAAGCGACAGTTTTAACAGTTTTGTACCATGTCCCCTTTAAAAGGTCTCTTTTCCAATGTAATCCAATATAGTTTTTCTGCCTTCCTTCTCCCCGCGTTGCTTTTGCCCAAAAACTGTGCAATACGAATAACCTTACACTGGACCGATCTTGGACGTACCCACACAGCGACATCGATGGGATAGGAGCACCAACCAACACAAGGTACAGTATGAACAGTTGGATGGTCGATTCGGTGTGATGGTGGACGACTGCACGTGCCCTATCGCAATGAATCGTGCAAGTCAGTGTCCAGATTTTTTGGGGTTTATGTTTTGTTGATTCATTGAAAGTTTTGTGAATGAATAACAAAAAACTTCTAAATGCACAAGGAGGTGAGAAGTGGAATTTAAAAAAAAAATGTAGATTAAAGGATCAGTAAATTGTAATTGTGTACATTTCAAAGACCAAGTCTCTAAATCAAATTCCACAAAAAAAATGTATCATGATTGATATTTGAAATGGCAAAGATGCAATAAATTAAATAATGCTATTAACATACGATTTTGTTAAGTAAAGAATTTGAAGGCCAAACGACGACATTATTGAAATCTCTGTAGTGTATAATAACAGGTTCCTTATACTATTATCGCCGAAGTTCGTTATCTAGCTATCTACTAAGAAGAGTATAATTTTCTTTTTTTATTTGGTATCAAGCTGGAGCTGCGTGACAGCTTAGTTTTCAAGACTTGACCCATTTGAATAAATTATGCTTCTATCTTTGACAATACAGCAGAAGGACTAGCCTATGTTGGCAGCTTGAACACTGGATTCCGTGTGTATTGTTTCAAGATATTTGTGGAAAAAATGCTGTGACGTGTGCGCGTAGATACATCCGCGTAGTAAACCGATTGAATAAGTTAATCCGTTTCGAACGAAATATCTAAATTATGTTTGTTACGAAAACCGCGCGAATTCCGAAAGCCGTGCGAGACAACCGAAACGAGAAAAATCCTGGTTTTCCTGGTTTCTTTTATAAAAATTCCTGGTTTTTGAACAAAGCTTTAAATCTATCAGTTTTGCAGATTTCCTTTAATTCTTCTATAAGAGAGAAATGTCTTAAGTATATTATATATGTATTTAGCGAAATACACTAAACTGGTTTGAAAAAACAGAAGTAAATAATTATTCAATTACGAATATTCAACGTTCGCTGAGTTGTGTTGACTTTTCACCAACCAAAGGACAATCGCTAACTAAAATGCATATCATGTGTCAAACCTGATAATAAAAAAATATTTAAAATGTATCAGTGCCCATCCGGCTCATGTCAACAAATTGAAATTAAATTTTGACAGATAAATATCCATTAACTGAGTATTTGTTTCAGTCCAAGGTTTTCCACTTAGCTAACGTCTACTGTAATCAAGCGGCTTAAGGTCAATTTCTTGACCTCCGCTCAAGCCTTAATCCTGGTTTAACTAAATGGGTACATTTGTCCTTATTGGCGATATTGGCATTTACTATATATGTCATTAACACTCCGAACCCGAAGCCTCGGTAAAATGTGTAACGACAAACTTTCAATGTTTGAAAAATCATAGCTCAGCCATTTATTGACAAATTTCAAATTTATTGGCACCATCTGAAACTAGATACTTTTAAAATTTATTTGGTATCAATAGATTTAAAATCTATCAATAAATTGTAGAGCAATCATTTTTCAAACATTGCCAATTTTCCGCTACACATTTAACCGGAGGCATCGTGTTCGGAGTGGTAAAAAAAGGGTAACAGTTTTCATTCAACAACGAAATCTTATGAAAACTCGCACTTTTTTGTCAATCACGTATCCAGCACCGAAATCAAGATTTGTGATAGATCAGTGCACGTAGATGTCAAATTTGACAATTTTGGGTGGTTTGTTTCGGTTCACATTAGTAGTTATCTGTTGCCATCACTTTTACTCTGGTGTTAAATGAAAGGGATACAACAAGACCAAATTGTGAGGTTAGAGACCGTATAGATCAGCTTTCATCGTGTTTGTACTGAGTCTGTGTTCCATTTGGTGAATTTTCACTTAATTTTGGCAGATGGAAAATTTTAAAATAAACCTGCTATTGTACCAGACTTATTCCTGACAGACCAGGAATCAATTTTGGCAAACACCTTCTCGAAAATAGGATGGTCAACAAAAGAGGGATTTTCGAACATCTTAATTTATTTTTGAAGTGTCAAATTTAAGTGAAAATTCATCAATTGGAACACAGCCTGAGAACATAAAGCAAAGTTGCGTTGTCATGACAGCAGCGACGAAAGCACTGAAGCTTTTCTGCTCGATTATCAAAGTGTATTCAATAAATATACAGATATATTATTTTGCACGCATCACACATAAATAGTAACGTCATCAATTATTATTTTCCTGGTTTTGCTTTAAAATTCCCGGTCGTTTCCCGGTTTTTCCTGGTAAAACAAAATTCCCAACATTTTCCTGGTTTCCTTGGTTCACTTGCCACCCTGATTTTGGTTTCCTCCCTAGCAGGCATGGAAAATCATTTACATTCATTTCATGCAATCATTTAAATTCATTTGCCTCTAACTTTTTTCATCAACAGCATTCCGCAAAATGATGTATAGAGCTTTAGTAGGTTTTGTTATTAGCTACAACTTTTGCCCATAACTCAAATCTGTATCTTTTATGCATCACGAATTAGAGCGAGTAGAACTTGTTACTGTTTTTCAGTGGATGTAAAATACATTCACTGAAAAACAGTAGTGGCTTCTGTTCGCTCTGGTTCGTTATACATAGGAGATACGGATTTGAGTTATTAACAAAAGTTGTAGCTAATAACACAGCCTACAAAAGCTTCAGTCAAAAGTTAGGGGCAAATGAATGTAAATGAATGCACGAAATGAATGCAAATGATTTTCCATGCCTGCTCCCTAGATATTCTACTTATTTACTAGTGAGCTTTGTACCAAATTAGTTAATTTAAAGAACGTATCAATCATTTCAAGATTTCGCGACCGTAGCTATACTACATAAGCTCAAAAGCCTTTGACAAGCTCTACCAAATTGCGTATCACTTCTGCGTAAGCTCCGTAGACGTAGGCGCGTTGATTCCGACAGCCGCCAAAGGTTTAACCTGCACCAAAACAGCTTAAGGAACGACCCCGAGTTAGTAAAACCGTTTAGAGTTGAACATTTCAATTACGTAAGATACGAAAATCGCGCAAATTGTGAACGCCGCGCGAGATAACCGTAGAGTTTTCTCTTAAAGAGTGCCACCAAAATAAATGTGATAAACTATGTTGGCAAGTTGATTAATTTTGGTTTTTATCAAACAATGAGCTTAAAATAGCTTGGATGTCTATACATGGCCGTTGGGATGCAAAGAGAAAGTCGACGAAGAAATTCTATCAATGTTACTTAGGACCAACGGCTTGATATATAATCGTCATGAATGTGGGCGTCTATAATGGAGGATGGACACGAAAAAATCCGGACCCGAAAATCTTGTTGAGGTTTAAAAATGAGTTTTATTTTTTATAGTTCAATGTAACAGCTTAGCATTAGTAGGTATGCTTATTGTAAGACCATTGTTTTTTTTCTTACCATAGGCCATTGCTCGAACTTTTCTTCGTACACGGCCCTCATATTTTGCACTTGTTTGGCTG